TCGTCACTTGCACCAGTGTCGTGCTCAACAATCGCAGTATTGCCGGCGCCCATGATCCCTGCATCGTAGTTGCTGTTCGTGTTGTTGTTGTTGTTATTGTTGTTGTTGTTGTTGTTGTTGTTGACGATGTTGTTGTCGGACAAGCCCAGGCTGACGATCCCTATGTCTTTGCCCCGGATCTGCATGACCACGTTATTATTAGTTGCAATTTTGTCCGCAACGAGGGCATTATCGACACCAGTTTGACCCTCCTCCAGCTCGTCTCCACCGGTGATGCATGCGTTGGGGTAGTCCTCATCCTCCGTATCGACCAAGTGCAAGTACCAATCCTCCTCCAGCGCTGCGTACACATCCTGCCCCTCCTCAAAGATGTCATCACAACACCGCTTCAGAGCCTCCAGTTGACCATCCATGCGACCATCCGTTTGCAAGTCCTGCAACTCGTAAACAATCTGCAACATGTTCGCCATCACCTCCCGATACGGCGGACTCGAAGAAGCTGCCCCCCCAACAGCCTCAAATCGAACTCCCAGTTGTGATCGCAGTGCCTCCACCATCACCTGTAATCGAGAGCGAGCACCTTGAATGAATATAAGCCAGTTGGTGGCCCCTCGCTGTTTGTCCCCCATCGAAAACATCTGTATACCGCGACAGAATTCGCGCCGACGATCTCCCACGCTCCCTACCAACCCCACATCTAATGGGACTGCCATGTCAACGTCGCCGCTGGCCAGGGGCAGGAAACGCAGCTCAAGCTCCCCACGTTGACCCACGCGGGCGCCCGATCGCATGGAAGGCAGTCGGGCCCTGCCGGCTGCGTCCACGCAGAGTGTTAGCGCACCTTAGCGCTAATTTCCCGCGGTGTGGGGTCTTCATAGGGGTTCCAATGCACTAGGATTTTAAGTATTAACTGAGACGACATAGGATTTACCCAAAGAAACTTTGTTATACTAAGCTCAGCGAAGAGGGTGGGAACGGGTTTGGGAAGTCCGAGAGTGGCCGAAGAGTAATCGCCGGGTCGAGTGTTGTCCATTCGTGGAAGCAGAGCTGGTACTGCCTGTGAGCCATCTTCTGATCCCCTCCTTGCCTTTCGCTCTCTTTCACCATCCCCAACTTCCGCCCGATTGTTCCCCCAAACCAGTTGCCACTAAATCGTTGAATATTCTGTTGGATTTCCTTTGAGTCATGAAGGGTTGAGATCCGGGTTTTCACCTGTTCCCATTGAGAGGAGATGTCAGCTTGTACCTGTTGTTTGATGGTGTCTGTGAATTCTGGTCCATCCAGTCTAACTTTTTCCATCTCAGAGTGCAATGTCTCCACCATAGGGCCCGAATTACTGCCCTGCGTCCTATTTTGAAGAGGTTGTGTGAGAAAGTGTTTAGCTGGGATGGATGCCAGGTTTCACAGAGGATAGCTCTCCAGTCCCATGGCCATGGACAATTGGTGCCAAGTTGACTCATATTCTGTCCCACCACCTCCAGAGCCAGACCGCCCCCGGACACTGTGGGAAGATATGTTCAATTGTCTCCAAAAGTTTCCCGGCAGGAAAGACCGAGGCACAAAATTTGCACCAGGGTAGTGCTAGTCCTCTTTGTTCAAGCGACAATCGGTCTATAAGCCAGCCGTTGGTTGGTAGACAGCAATGGTCGATTTTCCATTGTAGGGAGGCTACTTTGGCAGGCCTAGCTCGAATCCCTTGGAACCACTTAATTGGGTACAGTGATTCTTTACTAACATTTAGTTGTCTCCTCCATCTGTCCTCCACCTGATCTCTGAGGTTAGTCTTTGGTCTCAGCATTCTATAGGTGCATTTGACTGATAGATTGTGTAGGGCTCGGATACACTTTCTACCTTTGCTTGTTGTGTGAGACCAGGTCCAGTTGATAGGGTCCACGGGGAGGTTAGCAATTGGTGTATTCGGTTTGAAGGCGAGCCAACCCTTTTTGTGTTGTATTACTCTAATCCGGAATAGCAGGTTGTCCTGAACCCATTCCGTTATTTTTGGTTGGGGCTTGTGTAACATGTTGTCCTGTCCCAGTCTAAAAAGGCTGAGTGAGGACTCCCCTTGGGGGTGTCTGTCAACTATGCTAGTACCCACCCATTGTGGCCTTCCTCGTATGACCACTCAGTCACTCTCCTGCATATTGGGGCCTTTTTGTAGGATCCGGACCCAATCCAGGGGAATCATTTCGATCATTTCATCTAGTGCTTCTTTCGAGTGGTGGCAATAGCGTAACTTGGTTCTTATCTCCTCTCGGGGGAGCCAATCTTTTATTGTTTGATCCCAGATATCCCCTATTCTCATTACTCATTTTGCTACCCATCCTCGCCATGGAGAGTTCATAGAGTGCGGGGATTGTCCCAAAGAATCTTTGATCCATATGTTATCGAAGAGGGGCTTCTAGCAGACTTCCTCCCATCTCACTGGAGGAATTTTGTCTGGGAGGGGTAGTTTGCACCAAGTTTTCAATAGGTTGGGCCAGAATGAGTCTCTCCTGATGTCCGCCCTTGCAGCCTGGCGGTTTGATGTATGTGGGAAAACCGGAGGACGGGGACTCCCACGTGGGATTGACCATGATTTGTTTTCCAACCACATCATTGGGTCGATGTCAGCTGGGGTGGCAGGGGTTAATCTTGCTATTTGCTCTAGCGCCAAAGCTGCCCATGGGGTCTATGGGTTGAAAATCAGTCTTTTGATCCATTGGACAACAAGTGTTTGAGTCTGTGTGGACGGGTCAATGATTCCCAACCCACCCTTGGATTTGGGCTGGATTATTGACTGCCATGCCACTCTGCTGATCACATTTGTGTGTCCATGGTTACCTCTTCACAAGTATGTTGTTGCTTGTCTCTGGAGAGGCCGAAGGGCCACCTTGTCCAGTCCCAAAATCGTTGAACTGTACCAGAGTGATGCGAGGACCATGTTATTTATCACGAGCGTTCGACCTAGCAGGGATGTGTGCTTGTCTTTCCATGCTGCTAGTTTTTCCAGTGCCGACTGGGATATCCATTCATTGTTGGTGGTCGGTCTACCTTCTGTTGTGAGGGAGATCCCCAAATTACGAATGAGGGCCTCAATGGGCATCCACTTCACAGGCGGAAGTTCTGGGGGTCTGACCCCCTGATGATGGATCCACCAGGCTAAAGTTTTATTGCCCCAGTTGATTTTTATGTCTGATAGTACGCTGAATTTATCCATCATGGCTTGAATTTCTTTTAAGTTAGCTACTGATGCCTCCACCATAAGAGAGAGGTCATCCGCAAATAACGAGCAAATCGGGATGGCTTCTTCTGAGATTGAGGCCACCTGGATTCTTTTGATGTTATTGTGTTTTCTCAGGTTAGCAGTCAACACTTCCATGATGATGATGAAGAGGAAGGAAGCGATCGAATCCCCTTGACGCACCGACCGCTGCAGGGAGATGGGAGGCGTCAGGTTACTATTGACCATTACTCGTGTTGTGGCATTGTTGTGTAAGATCTTTATCCATCTCCGGAAGCAAGACCCGAAATTAAAATTTTCCAAGCATTTATCTAAGAAAAGTCAGTCGACATAATCGTAGGCTTTCTCAAAATCAATGAATATCAAAGCGACATTATACTTGGACTGGCGGGATAACTTTATGAGTTCATTGATGAGTAGAATGTTGTCCTGTATGTTCATGCCTTCTATGAACCCTGTTTGTGCTGGGTGGATTATGTCTGTTATTACCTTTGTTAGTCGGTTGGCAAGAGCCTTGCCTGCCATCTTGTAGACTACTGTGAGGAGGGTGATAGGCCGATAGTTCCGTATGTTGTTCTTGTCTCCCTTTTTGTAGAGAAGGGTCAGTACACCATGTCCCACAAACTCACCCATCCTCCCAAAAGTCCATACCGCTTGATAGAAATTCATCAAGTCCTGTGTCAAGAAGTCCCATAGTGTTTCCCATAGTTCTTTTGGGAGACCGTCTATGCCTGGGGTCTTTTCCTCTTCCATGAGCATGAGAGTTGTCCAAATTCCGTCCTTGGTAAGGGGTTGCTCCAACAGATCCTTTTGTTGCTGAGATAAAGAGGCGCTTAGTGGGAGGAGGAACTCTTCTATTTCTTTTGTCCTTTGGTGATCTGGTGTATGAGCTTATTCAGAGGTGAAATGCTCCTTATAGAATTCTCTAGCTATGAATGTACATTCAACAGTGGAGGTGGTTAGTGGTCCTTGGGGTTGTTTGGGGTCAGCCAGGGCCTCTATGACTGATCTCCCGGATCTTACTCTAGCCATCGCAAAAAATCTAGTGTTCATTGTTCCCTCCATTTGGTGTCGCCTGAGCTTACCTCGGATGCGTGCACCCTGCCAGTGACGTTCCATATGTGTGAGAAGTTTGTATTCCAGGTCCCGGGATTCCTTAGCAAGGGATTCCAATAAATCGTTGTTTTCTGTGTCGGTTTGTTTTGCAAGGCAGTCAATGCTGGTAGTTCCCACAGCCACACACGATCATTGGTTCCACAATTTTCCAAACTATTCTCCTCTTGTAATGGGACGTTGGACCCGGTTTCCAGCAGGTGACGCTCCCCACCAATAGATGGAGTCCCCCCCCTGGTGCTAGTGTTGTCTGCTCTTATCAGCAGCACTAGCACAGGAAGGGATGTTTCTTTATAAAAAAAAAAAAAAAAAAAAAAAAAAGGTTTTCTGTTGCTCCAGGTGATGTAGTTTTTTGTAAATGCGGATTTCTACAGCATGACGCTGGGCGGCTAATAGTTTAGAATATTCATTGCACTTGCAGCTCAGGTATGCAAAGCCGTTGTTGTCACTTGTTGAACCAAAGAATGTAATCTTGAAGCAGATCCCTCTAGTCCCGCCAGAAGGAGCAAACTTCTTTGAGATACTCTTTGAACCTTCCAGGCTCAACAGGGATGTGTTCAATTTAAAGAATCCTCTGTTTTAGTCAGGCTTCCTTCTAAATGAAAGGATGACCACACACATTGCATGGTCCAGACTGGGGAAGGGGCTACGGTGAAATATCTCTGCTATCTGCAAGGCCCCTTGTAGTTCCTCTGATAGCAGAATGAGATCTATGCGGGATTTCATGTTCATGCTTGTCTGACTCTTACGGTAGCATGTGAACTTTTGTTGAGTTGGGAATGTTCTCCGATAAGAGTCGAAAACATTCAGAGTTCGGCATACGTCTACGATGATATGTTCGTCAGTTTCAATGTATGGTGGGCAGGTCCATATGTCTGTCCGGAGTTGCGTTGAAATCTCCTGCTATAATGGCAGTTCCGCCTTTAAGGATTCGAAGAAGGTCTGTCGTTCCTTAGTCTCATTTGGGTCTCATTTGAGGAGTAAATACAAAGAATACACACTACTTCCAGTTCTAGCATAGCCAATAGATATACCCACCTTCCTTCGTTCTGATCCATTTCCCAGTTGAGCGGTTCTACCCTTGACCCTAGGAGTATCCATATGGCTACTCCCGCACGGCTTGGTTTGGGTGCGTAAGCATGACAGGCCAGGTGGGGCCAAATTTCCTTATGAATCCGGTCGTGTTCTGCCGTATCCATCAGATGAGTTTCTTGTACACAGATAATGTCCATCCATTCTTTCCCTTCCACCCCCTTTAGCTGTTCGTAGATCGCCTGTCTTTTAGGGAGATTGGATGTTGCCAGACCATTAACGTTTAGTGACCGCATGTCAAGGTCAGATGCCCTCTTTTGTAGCCTCCATTCTTTGTCTCTATTGTATAAGGACTCCACCACGTTTACTCTTCATTTGGAGTTGGCACCTTTCCTTTCCGGTTGTGGAAAACGGGGCTTACATGGCATGCCACATCCCTGTGTCTAACGGGCCACCGTTCTCCAGTGTACCCTTTCTCAGTAGCTTAGCCAGAATGGTGGTCGTGTCTGCCTCTGACCAGTATTTGCTGGCTTTCACTTTGAGTTGTTGCATTTCACTCAGCATTTTGTGGTCAAACCACCTAAGGTCTACCTGCTTCGTATGCTCGTACTTGACATAGGCATCGTGCTCTGCAATTCTGTAGGCTTCATTGTCTTGTACCAGAAATGCAGTGCCCCCCCAGGGGAGACACTCGTGGATGTACTTTGTGATGCCTTCCTGCAGCAAGGCTTTGGCTGGGGTGGTGTACGGGTGTAGGAATAGCCTTAAGCTATGCAATTGCAAAAGAGAATGGGGTAGAGGGCTGAAACAGGCTGTTTGTCGGAGTTTTAGCGACTCATCAGGAGGTTGATCCCTTGATTGTCTGTGGGGTTACCAATGGGGTGGAGATTCATCCAACAATCTGAATCAACAATTGGCCTCCATCCCAGCTCTCCAGTTGACGATGAGCCACACCACACCGATCAGCAAAACCCCACACCATAACAGGAGGTGGAGTTTTTTCGCCCACTCGTCAGGAGGGGAATCTCTCAGCAGTCCCACAGGGTGTGATCTACGGAGTGGCGTTCCAACCAAGAAATCTGAGGCAAAACGTGGCCTTGTGCCTTCGTTTTCTGTTTTTTTTACCGGGCTCATGGTACTAGACAGGGTGGTAATAGCATCCCTCCCTAGTACCCGTCCGCCGGGCGCTCCAGTCTATTGGTGCGGAGCGTCACCTGCTGGAAAATGGGTCCATGTGAACATCTGCAAAGATCAGAACTGCTGGAAAACGGGTCCAGCGTCCCATCATACATCAAGCAATCGGTGTCCAACGACGACCTCCCAGCATTGATTACCCTGATCCAGGGGATTAACTGAGCAGGCATGCAGGGGGTTCGGGAAAAGGAGGTGTGGGGGGAGGGAGGGGGAAGGGAAGTTCTCCAGGGGGCCCACCCGGATGAGCTCCCCTCTTCCCCCTCCCCCCATTTCCACCAACCTTCTTCCTTACAGTATCTCTTCTAATGCCATTGGGTGAGGGGGAACAGGTCCGGGAATTCCGTAGCCGGTCGCAGCGGGATACCTGGGTCCACTTTTGTCCCTTCCCGAAACTGCAGGCGATAGTCCTTTACTAAAGGGGACTCTGGGTCCTCCCTTTGCACTTGTTGATGTCCCCTCTGAGCTGATGTGTCTTCAGACCAGACCACCTCTGCTATCCATCCCTTCCTGTCCCCTCCCAGCCACTCTTTTTACCAAATTGTGAGATGACCTTGTCAATGTCTTTCTTGGTGTGCACGAACTCCATCTTCTGCTTGGCCGTCTGCCTTGTGCCGTACCGAACATCGGTTCGAATTGGAACGATACAGAGAAGATTAGCATGGCCATGTACCGGACCCTTTTACTGGACACGCCTTGGCATAACTCTTGAGTAAAATCTCTGAAACAAATTCAGAATCTGAATCAGAAAGCAAAAAGAAAAACACATGAGTCTAATCAGGGTTGGAAGTGCAGTGGCTTCATCACGAGTTAGCGCAGACTAATGGCAATGTCGAAGATCATAGCAGCATCCGTATCTTGCGGCACAAGCTGAGCCGGACACTTCTCCATCTCACAAAGTAGGATCAGCTTATGTAGCACACACTAAATGATGGCCTGCATATACTAGCAAGCCATGTGACACTGTATGGAATTCGTGTTCGGCTATAGTGAGATTCAGTGAAGCCTGATTGTTGCTTTTGCTTGATCTACATGTGCAAGGAAACGACTTGTGTCATAAAAAAATGAAGAAGAAGAAGAGATTCAGTGAAGGTGTGACACAAGTAGTGCAAGAAGTACGTCCAATTTGCGCATTACCGTCTTCTCTTGAAGTCAACGCCCCGCAGTCATGAAAATGCACAAGCTATCTTTCCGGCCTGATACAGTCAAACTGTCAAAATAAGTGTGAGTTGTGTCGGGTGGAAGGTAGTCAGTTCACATGCTAATAGCACATGGCAAATACTAATCGCCAGGATATAACATGTGCTAAGAGTCTCCACATACAACATTTCAATTTCTTGCATGGAGGACAAGTGGCCCTACACATAGCATAACATTATAGACTCCAGGAGTGCCTAGTGCGCAGCCTTGCCACAACCCGGTGTCGTCCTGCGGACGGCAACCGGCCCGTCCGACTGGCTGGAACGTCCGGCCCCCGTACAGAAGACGGGGGAACTACACAGACGGCAACCGGCCCGTGACGGTCCGACCGGCTGGAACGTCCGTTCGGATGGGCCATCCGATGAGGCCGCGTACAGCAGACGGGGGGACTACACAGCCACAACCTGATCGGGACAGGAGGTTTCGCCACGTGGCAGGAACCTCAATCTCATGGGATTAGGACCCCCCCCCCCAAAAAAAAAAAAAAAAGAAAAAGGACCAGTGCCTTGGTAGTGGCACTGGTTGGATGGTGCCCTGGGCAGTCAATCCCCTCGCCCGAGGGCAATCAATGCTGTCCTCCTTTTATGTTTACGACTTAATTTTGGCTTCTGCTTTGTAAAATGGGATGCTGGACCCGGTTTCCAGCAGGTGCAGCTCCCCACCAATAGATTGGAGCCATCTTTTATGGGGGTCCTATTAATGGGGGATGCTTTTATCACCTCCACTAATAGGCCACACTTTGATGTTTCAAAAAAAAAAAAAAAAAAAGGAGCTGCAGTGGAAGGAAGCCCACACGCACCTCATTATGGTGTGGGCCAGAGGCTGCAAGAAACCTCGCTGTAGTTTTATATGGTAATCACACTCAGGACCCCAATGTCGAGGACTTTGCCTCCATGGCCTCGGAGTCAAATGAAGGAGGAGGATAATTTGCTCCTCACCCCAGGTGTCCTTCCTGCAGTGCTCTTCCATCATGCTCCCCTCCTCTTTCTCTCTGATGGTGTATGGCCACAGCCCCGCATTCCTATGTTCCAATCATGGGGGGGCAGTAGAGGGGGGTGGGATGGAGAGTCTTCCTGCCTGTGCCAAGCTTGCTCAACCTTACGCATCTTACTCTCCTTTCTCCTCCTCCTCCTTTGCCACTTGCTGAGGCTACTTCTGCTCTTTCTCCTCATCCTCCACCTTTCGCCTTGTACTTTTTATCGCACAACTGCGATGGTTTAGAAATTCCATTCCCCATTCCTTTGCGACCGGAGGAATGCTGCAAATTTGCTTTCTGACATTTTATGGCATCGCTCATCCAGTCCTATGTTCCAGTCTTTTGGAGCATTAGGGAGGCAGTAGAGCGGGCAGGATGGCATCCTCCCGCCTGTGCCAGGGCCTGCTCAAGCTTACTCATCTTACCTCCTTTTCCCCGACCTCCTCCTCCTCCTCCTACCACTCCTGCTACTCCTGCTGCTGCTTCAGTCACTACATATCCTTTACCTTTCCCCTTCCCAATCCTCCCACTTCACACTTGCGATGGTCTAGAAAGTTTGTTTACCAGGCCATAAGTCCTACAAGCGGCTGAACTGAGTAGTTTCCGAGCAAGTGTGGCNCACTTCACACTTGCGATGGTCTAGAAAGTTTGTTTACCAGGCCATAAGTCCTACAAGCGGCTGAACTGAGTAGTTTCCGAGCAAGTGTGGCTCCTTCCTTTGCCAGTAAGAATTATGATCCCAATGGACCATGCAGACTTGCACTTTACAATGCAAAAACCCATAGCAGTGTCAACGACGACTCCTTTGCGCCTCCCCCGGGGCCTTTTTTTTTTTTTTGGATTGTATTATACACTTATTATTATTTTTATTATTTTTTATTTTTTTTCAAGTCCATGGTTTTGCAGAGGCCAGTCACTGAGTGCACAGTGATCACCTGGAGCAGTAGGCTGTGGGTGTCCTGGAATATGAGACCACCTCCCATCCCATCCTCACGTCAATACTCCTAGCGCACCCCCTATCCCACTATCCTACCTCAGTGTGACCAGCACTCAGGACCATTACCCTACCAATGGGCAGGTGACTTGGACCGAACAGCCGTGATAGGCACCAGGGCTGATAGGTTGCCCAGCCCTGGTGGAAGCGGAATTGGACAAGCCTTGTCGAACGGGAACTTCAGACGCCAGGCCCAGACAATCTACTACAGGCCTCAAGAGACTCTGGGCCCTAGGTTCAGCCAGGGTAGCACCCATTGAAGTAGTCTTACCGTCCTTCCCCTAGCTTACCCAAGGCCAGGCGGAACTCGGACTGGCCTGAGCGACTTATAACCCTACCCTTACCCTAGGGTCTAAGCCTTATATAGCCACCAGACAGTTCTATCCGAATATCAGTAGGGACTCCGGCGGCCCTTACCTGTACCTACTGCAGATACTAGACCCCACCCAGTGACTAGACCCCAGTCTGGCATATCACACGTTCGTGCCATTTCCGCTAGTCGTTCACATGGTAGAGTCATTCGGTTACACGTTACAAGGTCACGGGTTCGAGCTTGGTTCGGACCTTGGGGGAGGTCCTTGTCCAGCTTACCCCGTTCTCTCTTTGATATACACACATGATTCTGCCTATACATCTCGATACATTGATTCACAGAGCACACACAGCCTTCGGGCATATACATAGCTTGCAAATTATACATGGCCACTTTGTCTCTGTAAAGTGCCCTTTGTCGAGTCATTTCTTGCATGTGCTGGAGCAGCATCTTTTGGGCAACAGCAGCCTCGTTCCCTGATCATGGACATAGTAACGACACACTTCTGAGTTCCATGATCATGGCCGTATTAGGTATTAGCCCCCTTGTTATCCTGACTTGAACAGCATCTTCGACAACAGCCGCTTCATTCTCTGTAGCTGCACCGGAATGGGAAGCTGGACCCGTTTTCCAGCAGGTGAAGCTCCCCACCAATAGATGGAGATGGAGCCTCCCTGGGAATGCTAGAGGGGTCTGCTCTTATCAGCTCCCCTAGCATCAACCTGGGTGTGTTAAAGAAAAAAAAAGAAGAAGAAGAAGATTGGCTCCAGCCTGGTTGCTACTGTCAACTCCTTACTTCCAGTGCTGAGGACCACAGCTGCAGCTCGGCAAACACAGCCCCAGCTTCGTGCCCTGATGGCCGTACTTGAGTGTTCCGTAATGGCGGTTAAGACCCCTCCTGTTATTGTAGTAAAGTCCTCTTTGTCTAGCTGTTTTGCTCCGGACTGGAGCAGCAGCTTGGGGAAAGTACTTGAGGGTTCCATGACAGTCATATTAGCCTGCCTGCCTGTTATTGTAAGTCCTTTTTGTCTACTCGTTGTGGCCAGGCCCACGTTGTGGCCAGGACCTCGTTGTGGCCAGGATGGGAGCAGCAGCTTCGACCCCTGAGGACCGTACTTCACAGGTCCATGATGACCGTATTAGTCCACCTGTTATGTAAAGTCCTTTTTGTCTAGTCGTGAGCGGTGCTTTGGGGGGGATCAGGCTCTTCAACACAATGCCAGCTAGGACCGGATCAGGCTCTTCAACAATGCCAGCTTTGGCAGCCCACCTGTTACGTAAAGTCCTTTTTGTCTAGTCATTAGTGGCGCTTGGGGGGCGATCAGGCTCTTCAACAATGCCAGCTAGGGCCGGATCAGGCTCTGCAACAATGCCAGCTTTGGCAGCCTGTTGCCGATGATAGTAATGGAAGGCGTAGCCGATGAGAATGGTGCCAAAGATGGCCCCCCATGTTCCGAGAGTGACGACCAGCGACCCTGTGATGTCCATTTGCAGACCATGGATACGCACGAGGAACTCTGTGGTGTGGAGGCAGTAGGAGGTTGAGTACCCTGTGATCTGGGAATCGGTGGTCAATCTGAACCGCACAAAATAGTGGGGAGTTTCGAGTCCTCGTGGTTGGATCCCATAGCATGGGCTCCCGGATGGACAAACCCAAGTCAAGGGGTAGCCCTTTATAATTGGCTGGCCATCAGCAGACCGAACCCCACGGCTTAGCTGGAATGTTCCAGGCCTCAGACCGGGGCCAATTAGAGAGGTCCAGATGGCCTCAGCACCCCCTAGGTTGTAGTTCCTTATCTCTGCCTCGGTGAAGTTTCTCATGCTGTGTGGATCTCTTCCCCCGGCCACTATAGACAAAGCGAACACTTCGGTGAACAGCTCCGAGGAGTTGATGATGCTGTCGTAAATTGCAATGACCGGCAAGAAATCGTCCTCAAAGTATGCACAAGGAATAGCCGGGTCCACGTTCCTACACTCTCGGCTATATTCAGACAGCTCCAGGTCCAGATGAACACTTCTATCTGGGGGGCAGCCACTATTTATAGTCATAGAGACTTCTTCGTTGGGGTTCTCCACAATCACCCGGACTATGTCCCCTTTACGCAAGGGTGTGGACGAATCAGCCACCTCCCCAAGGTCTTCATCCAGGCTCACCAGCTCAATCCCATCCTTATTTAGCACCTCCACTGCAGGACTTGGGACGTTCGTCTTCGATCCGCCTCTTCCCATTGCGTACAACACCTTGGGGTTGTCCGAAGCACCATAAGGGACATCGTTCTTCAAAGCCGTTGCCGAAGGCAGGTTCCTGTGGTTCATCACTAGAGTCCACTTCTCCTCTGTCAGCACCGCCATGGCGTACCCCTTCGAATCCGCCAGGTGTCCTAACTTCCCAGTCAGGTCTGGTATCAAGTCCAACGAATGACCTGCGCTGCCCAGGCACATTTCCGGAAACGGCCAGTGTATGCTCATTGCTAGAGAAGTGGCCTTGATGGCCTTACCTGGTGAGGTTTGGCCTACAAGGTGATGCCTTTCGTGCAGCTTGATGATGTACCGCACTCGTCGACGCAGAGGATCGGACACACGAGTGTAGGTCATCTCTAAGAAGTCAGCGGGAGAGAGAAAGATTTCAACTTGCAACTGGTCCATCACTCGCATAGCTTCGTATGGACTGTCTAATTCCCCCACGTTAGGCCATATCTCCACGACGAAGACGTAGTTGCCTGCCTTGTCCAGGTAAATTACCGAGGGCAGTGGTCGCAGCTCGCGAGTCGCTCTGCGAGTGAAAATTGGGGACTGCCGCGAGATAACCGACAAGGCTTTGTACGGACACTTTACTATCCCCACTAAATTAGCTGTGTTTAACGTTCGCCGTGACTTCATAGCACGGGACGATGATCTGTGAGGAGGAGGAGGAGGAGGAGAAGCAGGAGAAGAGGAAAGACGAGTTGATGCTAAGGAAGGAGGAGGAGGAGAAGCACCGGAAAGAGGAGGAGGAGGGTGGCTAGAAGACGAAAAAGAAGCAAGTGAAGGAGAAGGAGGAGGAGGGGAGGAGGGAAGAAAAGATTCCATGGAAGGAGGAGGAGACAGAAGACGAGAAGCGTCTGAGGAAAGGGGAGGAAGAGGAGGAGGAAGAGGAGGAGGAGGAGGAGGAGGAGGAGGAGGAGGCGGAGGATGGGTGGACGAGGAAGAAGAAGCAAGGGGAGGAGGAGGAAGAGGAGGAAGAGGAGGAAGAGGAGGAGGAGGATAGGTGGAAAACGAAGAAGAAGCAAGGGCACACTTAGGGAGGAACAATAACAGCAGCAATATCAGCATGCTGATGCGGGTGGAAAACGGTGACCTCCTAACGAGGGCATATCCAGGTAGAGCATGGCCATTTCCTTCGCCCATTTCTTCATGGGCAACAGCCCAGTTAAGACAGGCGAGGGACTTGTGCCTGCCTGTTTTGGGCTATTGGGCACAAACACTTGCAGCTGTCCAGACATCGATGAAGAGTTCAAATCCAGCCGGATGTAATACAGCTAGGTGCAACGCGATCAAAGGAGAAACAAGCGAAGAAAAGTGCTGGCCATGGACTGGTCCAGACGCCTGATCACGAACCTGTTTTGACTGTTGACTACCAACCTTCCACAACAACAGAGGCGCAAAGGAAAGAAGAACAGAATCTGGCGAACGGCAAGTCCCGACACTCCCTGACGATCGAATCACGGCTTAGGACGTCGACGTCAAACGGTGCTTCCCCACTGGACGCTGGCCTCAAAAGAAGAAGAAGAAGAAGAAGAAGAAGAGGAGGAGGAGGAGGAGGAAGAGGAGGAACAGCAGGTAGGTAGTGCGCTTGCCTCAGAAAGAAGAAGAAGAAGAAGAAGAAGAAGAAGAAGAAGAGGAGGAGGAGGAGGAGGAGGAGGAGGAGGAGGAACAGCAGGTAGGTACTGCGCTTGCCTCAGAAAGAAGAAGACGAAGAAGAAGAAGGAGAAGGAGAAGAAGAGGAGGAGGAGGAGGAGGAACAGCAGGTAGGTAGTGCGCTTGCGTCAGAAAGAAGAAGAAGAAGACGAAGAATAAGAAGAAGAAGACAAAGAAGAAGAAGAAGAAGAAGAAGAAGAAGAAGAAGAAGAGGAGGAGGAGGAGGAGGAGGAGGAGGAGCAACAGCAGGTAGGTAGTGCGCTTGTCTCAGAAAGAAGAAGAAGAAGAAGAAGAAGAAGAAGAAGAAGGAGGAGGAGGAGGAGGAGGAGGAGGAGGAGGACCACAAGAAAAGGATGAAGGGGTAGGTAGGAACCACGTGTACATTACCGGATCGAGGTACAGGGCATACTGGATTGGGAGCTCGGCGCAAGAAGAAGAACGAACGAACGCAGGGGGAGCAGTAGGAGGAGAGTAAGGAGGAGGAGGAGGAGGCGCAGTAGTTGGAGGAGGCGGAGGAGATCAATAGGTCGCTATAGGTAGAGAGCGCAGCGGCCCAAGCTGCGATGTGCGCTCACCACAAGAAGAAGGAAGAGGAGGAGTTGGTGGAGGAGATCAATAGGGCGTTAAATGTCCAGCGCACCTCCCCAAACTGCAATGCGCGCGCCGCAAGAAGAAGAAGAACAAGGAGGGGGAGGAGGGGGAGGAGGAGGAGATCAATATGCCACCAGAGTTACAGCTTGCCTCCCCAGACTGCACTGCGCGCTCGCCTCAAAATCCAGAAAGAACAAGGATGAGGAGGAGGAAACCTATAGGTCGCTGCTGGTACAGCCCAACTTCACATACGGCTCTTTGTGCTCGCCCCAAGAAGTAGGAGGAGGAGGAGGAGATCAACAGGTGGATACAGGTACAGAAGCACATCCACAGTCGTTTGCCGTGATCAGAACAAGAAGAAGATCAATCGGTAGCTTGAACGACGTCGATCGTACAACAGAGACGTACACGACCGTACGGTTGTTAATTACCACACTCGGAACTTGCAGTTGAGCGGCGGCGGGAGCTTATAGAGGACCGTACGCCTCCGCACCCGTCCGCACCAGTCCACCTGCTCCCCCCTCCTTCTCCTCCACCTCCTCCACATCCACCTCCTCCCCATGTCCTTCTCCGATCCCTACCTGCACGGAATTGCAATTCCCTTCGGCAACGTCCGAGCTTGCAGTTGAGCAGCGGCTGGTGCTTATATAGGACAGCAGGCGTTCTCCTCCTGTTCCTCCTCCGCCTCCTCATGTCCTTCTCCCACCCCTACCTGCACGCCATTGCACCATTGCACCTTCCTTCGGGGGCGTCCGTCATCAAGCCCCCCCCCATCCCCGCAGACCTCTCGTTGAGACCGTCAGTGATGTAGATCCCCCATCCCATCGCAGTCGGGCTTGAAAGACTTTCAAGTGCACAGTAGCTAATGATCGAAGCCTCTCCCTATCCCAATATGGTGGGGGTTGAATGACTCCATATATTACCGTGATTCTTCTTCCAGCTGTCTCTACCTCTTCCTCTCCTGGTTTTCCCCCTAAGTTCTCCCTCCTCCTGTTCTCCCCTCTTCCCTTCACTTGATCGACACGACACCTTCTCTAATCACTAATCAACGAAACCATATATATATATACAGTTTCACGTCATTGGATGCACTCTCCCCTCATCATCACGACCATACAAAGCAACACTCTGTGCCCGCATAATCCCTGAGATTGGTTACTCCAATGTGCTGGAATCGTCCTCGGGGACATCCGTCGAAAGTGGAACGATACATAGAAGATCGATTAGCATGGCAACTGCGAAAAGGATGATACGCGTAAATCGAGAAATGGTCCAAATTGTGAATAAAACGAGCAAAAAGATGTGCTGGAATCATAACCTGTATGAAATGACTTGTCGCACTCACCACTCTCCTTCCCTCTTTGGCGTTACCGCCACTAGTTGTTACGGGTACAGGGGATGGCGAGGATTCGACTTTTGTTCTACGTTCGGGACGAAGGCTCGGGAAGGAGACGGCCCACCACAGGGAGGTAAAGAGTAAAGGGAAAAGCAGATGATGGAGCGAGGCGACGGCGTCTGTCTGTGTGTGCGTGTGTGTGTGTGTGTGTGTGTGTGTGTGTGTGTGTGTGTGTGTGTGTGTG